TAGTGTATATAATTTTAATACTTTTTCTTATACAATTTAGTTTCCTACTGGAATTATTAAAGCAAGAATGGATATCAAGAAATTTTATTACATGGCTATAGCCTGTTAATTTGATATCTGAAAACTTTATGTAATTTGCAAATCAAGTGTAAAAAAATGGGTTGTTTTTTTTTGGTAAAAAGTAAGAGAGAGCTGAGAAGATCAGTAGATTCAATATGGTGACCGAACATAACACTTCGACAAGTCAGGTTGAAGTATGCTTTCCTGGTGATCAGAAGCAAGTTCCATAGTGGAATCTGGCAGTGAAATGTCTAGAGATATAGCATTAAACTGATGAGCATCCACCCACCACCCAAAACTCTTTTTTTACAACCTGAGTGTGAAATGATCTAAAAAATGCTTTACAGATTTTGAGTAAAAAATATTACAATGGGAATTAATGTTGCCACTTCTCTAATGATCAAACATTGTACTGTTTTATAAGTCAAGACCAGAAGAGCTAGAGCTGATCATTTCCTGTTTACTAACAGTTTCTGTTTATAGTATTCCTTCCTGTGAAGTTCTTTCTATGAAATAATTCTGTTACACATGTTGCCTTTGCTATGAACTTACTAACCAAGTCATTTCTGCCTGATCTGGGAATCCAGTGAAAAACCCCAGCTCTCTTGTGCCGTTTTGGGTTTATTCAACATGTCTGCCTGAATACAGTTTGTTTTCTATATTTATAAGTTACTAAAGAATAGGATCAAAATCTTTTTAGACTTCTTATACAGCATAGAGTTTAATGCCCCGAACACAAAAACGAATTTTTTGTTAAGTGTACAGGCGGTCTAATTCTGGGTGAGAGATGCACATCCTATATAATAAAAGCCTGATATGCTAAGTGTCCAGTCGTCTGGTTGGCCGTTCAGCCAATCAAAGCATAATATGCTAATGATATGCTAAGGCCGCTCAACTGCTTGCTATGACGTGCACTGACCACTTGGGATAGATGCTCCAACTGGTAGGTTAGCTTGCTGCTGGGGTCTGGCCAATCCGGGCTGAGCTGGATGGGCCGGACACGCCCTGGAGCCCTCCCGTGGTCCCTCCCTGGCTGACCAACCTCCCACGTCCCTCCCCAGCCCTGATTGTGCACCGGTGGGGTCCCTTACCTTGGCCTGCCCTCTCACAATCCGGACCCCTCAGGGGATGTTGGAGAGCCAATTTTGGCCCGATTCTGCAGGCCAGGTTGAGGGACCCCACTGGTGCACAAATTCGTGCACTGTGCCTCTAGTTGTTTTATAAATTGGTTTGAATTATCTCTTATGTCTTTAATATTACTATCTGGTTCAGGGGTCAGCACACCCACCTCAGCTTGCTGAGGGCAAATCTGGCCATCAGCTTTTATAAGGCCAGTGAGAAAAGAATAGTTTTTATATTTTTAAAATGTATTATAATATATTTTAAATATATTATAAAAATATATTTTTATATTTTTAAATATAAAAAATATTTCAAAAGAAAAAGAAAATTCAACACAGCCCATTTGTGGCTTGAAAAGCCTAAAATATTCACTGTTCAGCCTTTTATAGGAAAAGTTTGCCCATCCTGATACTCTAGTCAGTGAATCCATATCCCCTCCTCCCCCCACACACACCATGATGGAGATAGTGTAATGATTACAACATAATGTCTTTAAAGGTGTTTGAGGGTTTGTTTGTTGTTTTAGCTTTTGTTTTTTAAGTTTTTTTTTTGTTTGAGGTTTTTTAAAAAATGTTTTTCTTTGATTCACATATCTCACAACTTACATATGATGAAGGGAGAGAATTGTCTTAGTTAAACTTTTAAAATTTCTTTTAGTTTTAGGATTCTTTGAAATTGTGACTCTAAATTGGTAGTGAGTTATTTCCTGATCTTTATTTCTTACTAGAGGCCCGATGCACAAAATTCATGCAAGAGTAAGCCTTCCTTCCCCTGGCTGCCAGCACTGGCTTCCCTCCAGCACCCGGGACCCGGGCTTCCCTTGCAGCTCCGGCTTCATCCACAAGGCTGTCCAGAAAGATGTCCGGAAGGACATCTCCTCTAATTAGCACATTACGCTTTTATTATTATAGATGAAAGCAAAAATGGGATAAAGGCAAACACCAAGTCTTATGCTTATTATGTATCCTATGCCATCCTAGTGTAGTAGTAGTAGTCGGAGTAGTAGTAATAATCAATACTTTAGACTAAGAATTACTTTCTCTTTAGTAGACTTCTTTATTTAGTAGTTCCGAAGCATAATACTGTAGTTGATTTTTGTATAATGCTTATCATAAGAACAACTGATCATTGGAATGAAAACAGGAAAATCCACAAGTACGGAATATAAACTTAATATAGAGTTTCACACCAAAGCTTTTGAAAAATATTTCTGGAGCTGAGTGCAGAAACTCCTGTGTCTGATTGCCTAGAATAAAGGCCCATTGACCTTTTCAAGGACAGGAAGCTAACATTTGCGTGTGCCTACTTTTAGGTAGACGCTGGGTGATTCACACAACTTCTTTCATATTTGTGATGAAGTGAGGGAATTGCCCTAGTTAAATTTTAAACTTTCTTTCAGTAAAAACTTGGGTTAGTGGAAATATGTTGTAGCCAGGATACCTTTATCCCAAATGAGGCAACTCAATCCACATAGCTAACAGCAATCTTGATTTATGATAGAGGAGGAAGAGGAATTTTAGCTTTGCGTGGTGTTGCACTGAACCATCTGGGGAAGAGGAATCTTTATTTCTTTCTCCCTTTAGTCATTTTAAGACAGCCTGGCATCTACCCTTTGTACAGAGGTCTTTAAAAGAAAGGCTTATGGAAAAGAGCTGTTCCCCTGCTACTCTGAAGAGGTATACTAAGTGCACCAATGTACTATTTCAGGAAGAGAAGGGCATCATGTAGTTGGCAAAGTAGCATCGAGTTAACAGTTATGCTGCCTTCAGCAACAGAGGTCAGTGAAGAGTCACTGAAGACCTTCTCACATGATTTATCATTACGAGTCTCCTTAAATTACCTCTAAATAAAATTGAATTGGCACAGTTAAATTTTTGATTAAGGTACTGAAGTTAAAAAAATTTTAAGTATATTAAAATCCAACCTTTGTTGAATGGTTTTTGGCTCACAAAGTATTTTTATATCTTTACTTCATTTAATTCTGTAAAGTAGTTATTGTTACTATCTTCATCATATAGATGAGGAATGTAAAACATTAGAATTTCATAGGTAGCATCTATAAATCATTAACTTAAAAATGTAAATTTTAAACAATCAGAGAAATGATTGGTATATTGAAGTAGTCCCCCAACTAAGTCCCACTTCCTTTATATATAGTAACAACCCACATTTTTTTTCCTGTCAATATTTTGAATTATCTTAACACTTTTGTCTAATTTAACAAGTATCTCATTGTTTTAATGCATATTACTTTAAGTAGTAATGGTTGAATTTTTTCCATGTTTGTTTACTTACTAATTAACAGCCATCTTTTATGACTATCTGTTTGAGGCAATGCCCATTTATTTATTAGAATGTTTACATTTTATTATATATATTCTGTAATATTAGCTACTATGTACTTAGTACTTGTGCCTATGTTATTGTGCTCTATCATTACATTTACAGCTAAAATTCTATATAGCTATACATAAATAATAAGGAATTGTACTAACATAAATACCATACATAGGTAATAGTCCTGGTTACCATTTATTGAGAATTTACTATATGTATCATAACAATTTTGCATTGCATTGATGAGGAAGTTATGGATCAGAGAGATTACGTAACTTGTCCAAGGTTGAAGAGCTGGAAACTCAGTTTGAATCCATCATCAGTATTCTTAGTCACTGGTCATAACAGCTATATTATATGTTTTTCTTGATATATGATATCTTCTATTATGTTTTTAAATGTATAGATCTAGAGCTGAGTGGGTTTTTAGTAGATATTTTTAAAGTTAGAACCTAAAAAATTATCCTTAAGCCTATTAAGCCTAATACAATGCATTCTGATTTACTAGAAAAGATTTTTTTAGGTACTTTTACCTTAATGACAGTATATCTACAAACACCACTTCACTTTTAAAATTGAATCCAATTAGTAGTCTTGATTTTTTTTTTTTTTTTAAATATATTTTATTGATTTTTTACAGAGAGGAAGGGAGAGAGATAGAGAGTTAGAAACATCGATGAGAGAGAAACATCGATTAGCTGCCTCCTGCACATCTCCCACTGGGGATGTGCCCGCAACCCAGGTACATGCCCTTGACCGGAATCGAACCTGGGACCTTTCAGTCCGCAGGCCAACGCTCTATCCACTGAGCCAAACCGGTTTCGGCTAGTAGTCTTGATTTTTAACTAGTTATTATCAACTTTTAGTTGGTGTTATTTAATGTAATATTTATTTTAGTGGGAAGCTGAATGAATTATTGCTGCTTAAAAACAAGAATATATTCTTTCTTTTTTATGCTCTTGAATTTAAGGCATTTTAAAGACTGCTATGATAGCATTCAGATTGTATCTGCAGAATATATTCCTCATTAGTTTGGTCATCTTTACCTGTGGTATCAGATACACTATTTTCATTTTGTTTGAGAATTTGTCTAGATAGATTGTTTTTATGTATTTTAGTTGCTAAAATAAAAGAATAGGTTTTTTTTAAGATTTTCTTTAGGGACTTCTTTATGCCTTCATTGAATATTTATATTTCTTATTAAACTGTTTCTGAAAAATGATTCTAAAGATAATCAAAATACGAAAGGAAAGCGATTTTTAAACATGTTATCTCTTCCTGTCTTTAGGGACACTGGATAGATGTTTTACTAATATGTTTTTTTTTTTAAAAAAAAGATTAACAATGAGCAGAATATCATGCAAAATTCTCCTCTATAGCTATCAATATCAATTTAAAAATAGTTTTGACCGTTTTTATAAAACAGGAAAGCTATTAAAAACTGTTAATAAAAAATAGGTGCTTATTTTTGTGCTAATACTAATTACTGATAATGCATGCTTGTGTTTGTCAGTCATTGCATGGCATTGTACCAATCAGAGGACTGCCTGAGACTCAAGCACTTACACATGTAAATTAACCGTTAGATTTTTTTTTTCCTTTTTTACTTAAGTGAGTCATAATGGAAAGCAACTCTAGGTCATAAAAAATCTTTTCTCTTTAATGCCAATGAAATGTCTCCACTCTGTGTATTAGCAGACTACCCTTATTGGTAATCTGTAGCCTTCTCTTTTGTTCCTGGTAGTAATGAAATGCTGGGTGCTGAAAAAGCCTGCTCTTCAAGAATGTGTGGCCAGTTGTCTTCTGTTCACTTATACTGTAAAATTACTGTTCCCGGCAAAGCTGAACAAGAAAGGGGACAAGATCAAAAGAGTATACATTGGCACTCGGCTGCAGCAAGTGACTCCTGCTTTCTTAATTAGCCACAGCTTCTCCAAGTAAATTTACTCCGATACAGCAAAAACACTGAAATACAGAAACAGCATATGATAATTCAACCACAAATCTTTATTGTTTGCTTTTTCCAGCCTCCCATTGAAACCGTTGCACAGTGTTATAAGCTAAATGTCCCTTCGTTTTTCTGAATCTTAGGGCACAAAAGCTATTTTAAATGTTTTCAAAAACACCAGTGAGATAGGCAGATGATGATTTTTATTCTCTAGAATTGGGTAACTTTTCATTGGTATTCTTTTTAAAAGTCAGTGTATTGGAAATCCAATTTAAACGTGCAGTTGCTTCTAAAATTTGCTAGCTTGCTCTGTCCTCTCATCAGAAATGCCACTGGTATTTAAGCCTTTGGAAAGGGCCTTCTCTGTGAGTGTTTTTGCGGAAGCAAAATTTGACAGTGATCCTAAGCTCCAAATTAATTAATACGGTATCAGCACCACTTTCCTTTTCATTTTAATCACCACTTTGTAAGTTCCTGAAGTCTTTTTAATATAAGAACCATCAGTAGGCTTTTGGTTAATATTTTAAAGTTACAGTTTGAGACAGAAAAGAAAGATCTGTGCCTCCCCATATCCTGGCCTTGTTTTGTTTTGTTCAGGTGGGAAGGAAAGAATTAAACTTTTGAGTAAGATACCAGCTGTAAAGAGAAAGTGACTGGGACCTGTCCAGGCCAGGCTGTTAGTTGTGTTAGAACCAGTTAGTTGTTTACTTTTAGTATTTTGATCTAATTTGAAAGAATTCCATTAGTTTGTATGCGCTCTGACATGATTTAAAAATAACACATACATATTGATAGATATTGTGTGATATATTTTATGAACATGAAACAAGTTTTAGTGAGATTATCTAAAGTGTGTTATTAAAGAAAGATCATAACATTGCTACATCAAGAGTATCTAAAACCCATGTTGTATTCAAAAGGGAAGGTATGATCATTAATACCAGCCTTTCCTATACATTTTTTTTAAGTCAACTTCCTTTCCTCCTTAATTTCTGTATTTCTATGTGATTTTTAAAAGCATTAAAAAAAGTCATTATTAAGCTTATTTGTTAATTGTGGATTAAAAATAATTTTTAAAAAGATCATTAGTTATATGTATCTCTGTACTTAGATTCAATAATTTTATATGCATTCTGCACTTTCTGTTTTGTCAGAAGTTTTTCTAAAAGAATACTGTATTAACCATTCTTATAAGTTGTTATTTTAAAAACGTTTTTGTAGAGGGAATATTTGTGTTTATGAAGGTTAGCAGAGGCTGGCTGTGCTGGAAGTGACTGCAGTGCCTTTTGATTATTCATGGACAGTAATAGAAGGCACTTAAAAAGAACAATGAAATTGCTTATTTCTGTGATGGGCCATCTGTTGAATTGTTTTGTGCAACAATTGCACAATAGTATCTATGTCATATCATTCTATTTTCAACAGCAGCTGATTATGTCTCACTGGCTACTTGTCCTTATTTCTAAAGTTCCATGACCATTTAAAGGCACCTTTTGAGGGACCTTTGCCACAAAGGTACTAGAAATCTCCAACAGCTTGTGTATGTCTCTCTCTTTTTTATTTTTATTTTTTGGAGAAGGGGGCTGTGATGGAAGTAGGAAAAGGGAGTTGGTCATGTTAGTTCTAATTAATTAGACTTCGTAAATGTTTAGTACAATTATCTATGCTTTCCACCTGTAGTTCTATAAAAGAAGTTAATAAAGAGCCATTTGACAATTTGTGTAGAAATGATAGGCTTGCAAAATAGAAAAGTTAAAAGACTACTATACAGTTTTTCATGCTTTTAATTATCTACTCTTTTCTTCATGATGATAATTAGAATTTTTCTCTTGGAATTCACTTTCATCCTTAAAAAAAAAGTCTTTAGCAAATTTGTTAGAGCAGAAGTGAAATGAAAATAAAACAAATGTGCTGTTGTCCATAGGTCACTGACATTGCTGATGCCATGATTCTGAAACAGCTTTTTGAAAATCTGTTCAAAAATGGGGTCGTCGTTGTGGCAACATCCAACAGGCCACCAGAAGGTAAAAACAAAACATTGTGCTAATCTCATCCAATTAGATGGAAACTAACAAGCTTTTAAAAATCCATAATTTTGTACTTATTTTACTATGTGAATAAATCTGATGACTTTGCTTATCATTAGTTTCATAATTGACTTATTCTGAAAAACCAGTGAGTATTTTTATTTTGTTAATCCTCCCTTTAGGATATTTTTCCATTGATTTTTAGAGAGAGTGGCAGAGAGAGGGAAAGACAGAGAAATATGGATGTGAGAGAAACACATTGATTGGTTGCCTCCTGCACTTGCCCCAACAAGGGCCCGGGGCCGGCGAGGAGCCTGCATTCAAGGTACATGCCCTTGACTGGACTCGAACCTGGAACCCTTTGGTCTGCAGTGAGGCTCTATCCACTGAGCCAAGCTGGCTATGGCTCAGTATTTGTATTTGAAAAATGTTTATATTCCTTGCATGCTAAATCCAAGTGATCTGTTGTGTTTGATGCACCTGCTGCTTTTCTAAGAATTAGTTATGTCCTATGTGCATGTAAAAAAATGCAGTTCTTTTTAACTGCTTTTTATGGATCATAAAAGAAACTCAATGAAATGGAAGGCAAAATTCCTAATTAAATTTTAGGAAAAAAAATTGAAGTTCACTTGCATAAGTAGTTTCTAATACTTCATATATCATTTCTCAAAAAGCACTGGGGTTTACTAGGAAATTATTTAAGAAGTAAAATACAAACAATATTTAAATAAAAACAAGTTTAAAATCTTGTTTTATTTGGGTCACCATGTGGTCAGTTGAAGATCTAAGGAACCCCAAATAATATTTTATACATTCTTTTTATTTTATTTTATTTTTTTAAGCAAGGCAAATATCTTTACTCCTGCAGGAGGGTGTACACGCACAGGGTCTGGCAGCATGCACAGTGAGAGGGTGGTCTGCTTGGGCTTTTATGCCTGACACATGTCATCTGTCCCTCACTCTTGCGTGGTGAGGCTCACACTCTTGTGTGATTGGCTAATTTAAAGGAAAAAGGGTGCCAAGTCATGTGAGCCAAAATTATTTTATACACTAGAGGCCCAGTGCACGATTAAGGTCCCTAATGGCTGCCGGCTGGGACCTCTCTTCCCTTCTCCCAGCTGTCTGCCACTGCTGCCGGCTGGGGCGGGGCCAGCTGCAGGGAGAGGTCAAGGGTGGTTGGCTGGCGAGCCCCGCCCCCTGGTCAAACTCCCAGTTGAAGGGACAAATGCATATTAGGCTTTTATTATATAGGATTCTTAACGTTAACAGCTTTCTGCCTGGAATGGTTTTCTTCCAGATATCTGCAAGGCCAGGTTCTTACCTCCTTCAGGTCTTTGCTGAAAAGTTACTTTGCCAATAAGCCTAGACTTATCCCCTTATTTGAATCTACAATCCTCCCCTTTTTTCTGGTACTGCTTCTCCTTGTCTGCTCTACTTTTTTCCTGTAGCACTTAGGGACCCAGAGTATAATTTACTTATTATATTTATAGTTTATTGTCTGTCCCTTTTCAGGACACAAAAGCTTTTGTGAGGGCAGTGACTTATTTCTTCTGTTCACAGATGTATTGTAAGCACTTAAGCAGGCTATCGATGGATTTCAGCAAATAGCCTTAGAATGAGTTTTGAATGAATGCATGCTTTAAAAGGATCTCTTTGGCTACAGTACTGAGAATAGATTGTGGGGATGACGTTTCAAGGTTGGAAGTAAAGAGACTACTTAGGAGATGATTGCCACAATCCTGAGGGGGAAGATGGAGCAGGGCAGGTGGTGAGAGTGGCCAGATTCTGGATGTATTTTGTAGGCAGAGCCAAAAGGATTTACTGATGGAATGAATGGAGGGTCTGGAAAAAAATAAAAGAGGGAGGTGCGGATTAATGACTCAAGGGTTTGGCCCGAGCAACTGGAAGGATAAAATTGCTATTTACTGAGATAGTGAAGACTACAGGAGAAGCGGATTGGGGTAGGGAGGTGAAAGTGAGGGCTTCTATGATGGTGAGGCAGATGCATATGTGTTTGGATTTCAATGGAAATGTTTGGACTGGAAACATAAATGTGGATTCATCAGTACTAAAGGAAGCTGGAAACAGCAGCCAGTGAGGTGGGAGAACCCAGGGAGTGTCAAGCCAGGAAAGGGAAAGTGGTACAAAAAGGCGGGCTGATCACGTTTGTTAAAATGCTGCTAGGAGCGAGGAGGTGAATGTGAGGTGGAGAATTGACTATGGGAATTGATAATATGGAGTTTCTTAGCGAACCTGAAAAGAGCAATGTAATCATTTGTTGTTTTGTTTTAAATAAGCATGTCACATTGATGCCATATTAAATTTGTAGTCTGCTAAAACACCCATATCTTACTTTGTGAACTGCTGTTAAACTAGGTCTCTCCCCTCTGTATAGTTGATTTTCCTTCCTATTACATTTCATCTTATTAGTTTATCTGCATTGTTCCATTGAATTGAATTTATGTTGATAGCTTTTGAAATATGATTTTATCAAATTATATTTAGTTATTCCTACTAACTAAATATTATAAACTTGGTAATCACACTTCTACATCTTTAGCCATTAATTAAAATGTGTAAATAAGATAGAACCAAATTAAGACCCCTGTAGTATACCACTAGAGGCCTTTTAGGGAGATATCAATTAATTTTAGGGTGATATAAAGAAATAAACTAATTAATACTTTTGGAGTCAGTTATTCACACAATTATAGTTATAACTAATCTGTTATGCTACAAGAGAATTATGAATGATTTTGTCAGATCATTTGTTAAAATCCATATAAGGCCTGGCTTGCATGGCTCAGTGGTTGAGCATCAAACCAGGAGGTTACGGTTTGATTCCTGGTCAGGGCACATGCCTAGATTGCAGGCTCAATCCCTCATGCAGGAGGCAGCTGATCAGTGATTCTCTCCCTATCCCTTCCTTTCTGAAATTAAAAATATATATATTTAAAAATCCATATAAGATTATGTGTAGAATTCTTGTGATTTATTGTTGTAGGAATCCTATGAGCCAAGTTAGTGAGCTTTTAATATTAGATAACCTATCTAGGTAGGAGCCGGGTTGACTCTATTCTAGCTGAATTGTTTACCTAACAGTGTCATCAGAATTGCCTTTAGATATTCAGAGAGAAGCTATGTTAATAAATAACAGGGTACCAGAACAAGCTTGCTGCCCCTCTAGCCCCCCATCCCCATCAAAGAGTAATGAGAACAAAATTGCACTTGGCTCTCAGGCTTTTGTACTGTGGTAAAACGAGGAAGGACAACCACAAGGAGAGGTTATGGAGCACCCTGGAGCACAGAGTTTTGTAGGAACAGAGTTACAGGCGCACCAAGGCAGTGTGCAGAAATCCAAGGTGGAGGCACCCTTATGGAGACGACTGAAATTTCAAGATGCAGAATTGCAAAAATTGGTCATTAGCCACAAACTTAAAGAAAGTCATTGATATATATATAAAAGCCTAAGCGACTGGCCATGACATGCAATGATCACCTGGGGGCAGATGCTCAACACAGGAGCTGCTGAGCGACAGCAACTTTGCAGAGTGCCCTCTCGCACTCCGGGACCCCTTGGGGAATGTCAGACTGCTGGCTTCAGCCCGAATCCCACAGGCCAGGCTGAGGGACCCCCACCTGCCAGAGGGACTCCGCTCATTCTCCAGGCACCTTCCGAGCCCTAGCGCCACCCCAGGTGCTGCTGGCTGGGAAGGGACTGGGGGAGGTTGGCTCCAGGGTGTGTCCAGCCCATCTTGCTCAGTTCTACTCTGCTGGCCACTTTCTAATTAATTTCCTTTCAATGTGTACAAATCTGTGCACCGGGCCTGTAGTTTATAAATATAAACCATAGAAGAAACACTTGTTATACATTAATTTTTTTAGCCACAGCAGCCAAATGATCATCACAAATATCTGAATATTTTAATATAAAGATGGCATATCTTTATATATAAATAAATACATATTTACATATGAATATAATTTTAAATAATATATAAATAAGATGGCATATCTATATAAGTAATATATAGAGATAATTTTATGAGTGAAGAAATGAGACTCAGATTAAGTGTGGATGTAGGAAAAGGCAAAACTGTCAGATAAAGAATGGATCAGTGATTGTCAAGCTGGAGTGGGGAGGTGTTTGACTTCAAAGGGGTAACATAGGAGAATTTTTGGGGGTGATGGAACTGTTTTGCATCCAGTTGTGGTGGTGGCCTCGTGTTAAAACCAATGCAATTGCATACCCCCAAAACGTTAATTTTACTGTATATAAATAAAAACAAATCACGTGGATAGTGAGTGGAAGAACAGGGGCTTAACCTGGGTTTGTGACTCTGTTAACACATTGTTCGTTATCTTTCCTCCTTTTTGGTCATCACTGATTTTTGTTTTCCTTGTCCCAGATAGAGAGTGTCCCCTTTTCCAGCCATCAAAATGCAATTAACTTTTTTTTTTAGGTCACAGATTTTGATGTAGCGGCCCAGATACGTTGTTATTATTTTTAAATAACATTTACTTATTCTCAGAATGTTACAAGAGGCAGAGGAAGAGCCTTCCTGGCAGAGGGTTGAAGCAAAGCCCAGTAGCGGGAGAGAGCATGACTCACTGGAGAAACTGAAATGTAGCTGGTGTGGCTGGAGTGGGAGGAAGGCGGAGGGCGATGCAGTGAGGTACAGGATGCATCTGGCATAGTGGGAGCTAGACCACAGAAAGTACTCATAAGCACTTCGAATTTTATTCTAAGAGAAATGAGAAGCCATTGAAGTGCTTTAAGCAGAGACTGATGAGATTGGAGTTGGAAATATCACTCTGGTTATAGTGTGGAGATGGGTGATGGGATGGGGTGCAGTGATTGGTAGATTCAGGGAGACATTAGGCGGCTATTGCATACACTGGGCAGGAAATGGTGATAGCATAAGGCAGTGATTCTCAACTGGGGGGCTCTTTTGCCCACCAGGGCATATTTGACAATGTTTGAGACGTTCTTAGTTGTCACAAGTAGGCGAGGCAGGCAGTCGGTGCTGTTACTGGCATCCAGTAGGTGGAGGCCAGGAATTCTGCCAAAAATCCTATAATGTATGGGGCTTCCTCCCACAACAAAGAATTATCTAGCCAAAAATGTAAGTAGTGCCAAGGTTGAGAAACCCTGCTATAAGGTGACGTCAATGGATATGGAAGGGAGAGTTTTGAAGGATATTTAAGAGGTAAAATGGATAACACCTGGTTATAGGCCAGAGTTTTTTTAATGAGAAAAAAGGCAAATAATAGTATTGAAAACATGAAATGGAGAGACACACCATGTTCATGAACTGGAAAATTCAATTTCATGTAGATGTTGATTTTCCTCAAACTGATATATAGATTCAGTGGGTTCCAGTCAAATCTCAGAGGTTTATAACTGGTGGAACTTGACAAGCTGATTCTAAAATCTACTAGTATATGGAAGAGCAAGGACCAAGAATAGCTTAGGGAATCAAACACAGGGGGCTGATATAGTGGGACAAAATAGAAAAATAAATTGTGGTATATTCAAATGATCACTCTATATAGCTGCACACATTCATTTGGACAAATCTCAGAAACATAATACTGAGTGAAAAAGCAAGTCACAGAAGAATAATCGTGGGATAATTCCACTTATATAAAACTCAAAAACATGTAAAACCAATACAAACATGTAATAACATAACAAAGCAAAGCCAGGGAATGATGAAGACAATAGTGTTTTCTCTGCCAGGGAGGGGCAGAGCAGGGACATCAAAGGAAATGGTATCCATTTCTGAAGTGGGGAGGGGGGAGGGTGTTGTTTCTTTATATCTCCTATTTATTTATTTATTTTTAAAATATATTTTATTGATTTTTTACAGAGAGGAATGGAGAGAGATAGAGAGTTAGAAACATCGATGAGAGAGAAACATCGATCAGCTGCCTCCTGCACATCTCCTACTGGGGATGTGCCCGCAATCCAGGTACATGCCCTTGACTGGAATCGAACCTGGGACCCTTCAGTCCGCAAGCCGATGCTCTATCCACTGAGCCAAACCGGTATTGGCTCTGTATCTCCTATTTAATTAAAAACAAACAAAAAACAGGATATCTTGGAGGGTGAGTATTAAAGCAGAGGAGGAAACAGGAGTCTGCCAACGCTTATGTATAGCACCAAGTGCCAGGCACACCATGTTCCTAATGCAGTTAAAAATTAGTAATAGCCCGGTTGGCATGGCTTAGTAGTTGAGCATCAACCTATGAACCAGGGTTTGATTCCTGGTCAGGGCACTAGCCCAGGTTGTTGGCTCAATCCTCAGTGTGGGGCATGCAGGAGGCAGCTGACCAAAGATCCTGTCTCTAACATTCTAATATTAGAATGTTCAAGAATAATCCTATATTACTTAGATTCTATCAGGCAACAATGCTATGTGATCCTTCCTTAAGCCAGCATATCCATAGAGAATAAAAGACTGGATATCCTAGAAAGTTGGCTAACAATTATGCACACACACACACACACTACAGAGTAGGGTAGAAGGTTTATAGTTTTGAGTACATGAAACAGAGTTTATTCTTGTAATATTAATTATTAATTATTGTATTATTTTCCATATGAATGATTGCAGACCGAGTTTTGCCCCAACCTGTATAATTTATCATATTAATACTTCTAGGGGAAAAAAAAATCAGTGGTGTTCACCATAAAAGCTGAAAGAGCATTTGGCATAATTCAACACCTTTTAAAAAAAATACATATTTTTAAAATTGATTTCAGAGAGGAAGAGAGATATAGAAACATCAGTGATGAGAGAGAATCACTGATCAGCAGCCTTCTGCACGCCCCACACTGGGGATTAAGCCCACAACCTAGGCCTGTGCCCTGACTGGGAATCGAACCGTGACCTCCTGGTTCATAGGTCTATGCTAAACCCCTGAGCCATGCCGGCCAAGCAACACCTTTCTTGATAGAATCACACAAAATATAAATAGATGATAGTTTTTTAATATGATACCAAATATATGTGTATCAGCTCAAAAGTCAAAATGATGCTTAGTAGAAACACTGTGATATTTCTACTACAAGTGTGAACAAGCTAAGGATGCCAACTATTAGTTTTTAACATTGAATTACAGTAAAGTCAAAGATTATAGGAATAACTAGGTGATAGTGAGGGGAACCAAGAAAAAAACCACATGTTTTGACTACAGGGATTCACCAAGATTAGTCATACCACCCCTTTCTCAAGGTTATAAAAACAAACCACCAACCCTAATATGGGAACAATAAATAGGAAAGAGAAGTAAGAGAAAATTTCTGTTTTGTATTTTTTAAAAATCAGGAAAACATAGACTCTGTGATGTAGAAGATCTAAGCTGAGAGAAGACTAGAGATTCAGTGGGAAATCTTTTTTGCTAAGAAATCAGCTGAAATAAAAGGAAGCTAAGATAAGAAAAGAGATGAAATAAAAATCAGCATTAGAATAATTAAAGTGTAGAATTTAAAGAAAATTAAATTAGTGATATAGGGAAATAACTTGGGAAGCTCTGCCAGTGTGTAGAAATAGAATAAATAAAATGCTGAAAAAGGTAAATAAACCCCATGGAGGAGAAGTTTTAATGTAAACTTATTAAAAAGAAATGCTTGAGCTGGCCAGTGTGGTACAGTTGTTGAGCATCTACCTATGAACTACTAGGAGGTCACAGTTCTATTCCTGTCAGGGCACATCCCCAGTAGGGGGCCTGCAGGAGGCAGATGATCAATGATTTTCTCATCATTGATATTTCTATTATATCTGAAATCAATAAAAGATTATTATTATAGTTTAAAGCTAATTTGATTGAATGCCTTTTTTAAAAAAATATATATTTTATTGATTTTTTACAGAGAGGAAGAGAGAGGGAGAGGGATAGAGAGTTAGAAACATCAATGAGATAGAAACATCAATTCAGCTGCCTCTTGCACGCCTCCTACTGGGGCGCTGCCTGCAACCCAGGTACATGCCCTTGACCGGAATCGAACCTAGGACCCTTCCGTCCACAGGCTGATGCTCTATCCGCTGAGTCAAACCAGCTAGGGCGATTGAATGCCTTTTGATCTTTCTTTGATCGTTAATGTTTTTTTCTTATTAAGAATATAGTGAATTTTGTTTAGTACCAGAATAAAAATTAGTTTTGGTTATACTTTCCTTTTTTGTTCCTTTATTTATTTATTTATTTTTTATCAGTGGAAAGCTTTATTTGCCAGGCTAATATATAAGCTTAAATTATGATTTAGGCTAAGTAAAAAGCTAATACCTGCCTTAGCTGGTTTTGCTCAGTGGATAGAGCGTCGGCCTGCAGACTGAAGGGTCCTCAGTTTGATACTGGTCAAGGGCACATGCCTGGGTTAAGGGCTCAATCCCCAGAGGGTGGCATGCATGAAGCAGTTGATCAGTGATTCTTTCTCATCATTGATGTTTCTCTCTGTCTCTCTTCCCCTATCTTCCCCTCTGAAGTAAAAAAAGAAAAAAAGCCAATACTATTTTTTTCTTTCAGATCTCTATAAAAATGGACTACAAAGAGCTAACTTTGTACCATTCATAGCTGTCCTGAAGGTAAGGAAAATCACTTACTTGTGTTCACTGATTAATATCATGTTGGTTGATAATTGAAGGCTTTTAAAAGATTACTATGATGTGGCATTCAAGCACAATTCATTTTTATATTTTGGTAGTATTAGTCAAAGACACTAGAGGAGAAAATAATCTTTTTTATTTAGCATTCATTAATATGTACAGAGGAAAAATTACAAAATATAGTCTAAATTATTACCTATCTGAAACATTTGATGGTTTGTATTTTATAAATTTTAATTTGAAGTTTGCTCATAAATATTATAGTGGAATGTTTAAACTTATACATTGATTTCTGAAAAAATGATTCATTTTTCTGTTTCTTCAAGTTAACATGTTTTCCCAGCTATTAAAGTTGCTATTCTACAGTAACATTATTACAAAAATATTCTAATATATTTAAATGTGATTGCCCTTAAGTTACCATGAAATCATGTGAAGTTGAGGCACATAAATAATTGAAATATTTGTGTGTATCATCATGGCAAAGAGTTTAAAATAGTCTTCATTACAATATAATTAAAAATAAAATAACCTCTTTTTTCACTGTTAATATTAAGTATTTTTTACATGATTACTCAACAATTCCACATTTTTCCAATATTTATTAATAATCTACTATGTGCAAAGTGCAACATGAGGCATAAGGAAAAATATAATCATGAAATAGACTATGTTACTTTGCCTGCAAGTCATTTATAATCCAGTTGGGCATATAGTATATACACAAATACCTGTAACACAAAACAAAATGTAATAACTACCAAAAGAAGCATAATTATGTGCCAAAATATAATTCCCATAATTCTTAGGTACATAATTTTTCTCAGTCCATAATAACATATCTGAAGAAGGGATAAAGTTGTATTTATAAAACCCCACAAATCTAAAACCTCAAAAATTCTTACCAAGGAGGAGTAAAAACAGTTTATCTTCAAATATTCTAAAGATACAGTAAGACAATTTTTCTGAAATATACTTAAGTTGCAATTGTTGTTGGTGCCAAACTTTATTCCCTGTACTATACTAAGGAGACTTCAAACATCTGTTTCCTTAACCAATTTTAGTTTCCCAGAGGATTTTAATTTCTCTGCGATATTTATAGATGTAGAGAAAAATACTTTTTGAAAATTTTGCTGTTAGTAATTTTTCCCCTTTGTATTTATGTTCTGCATATGAGAAGGTAGATTTGCAGTATTTTTTTTCATGCCAGGAAATCCAAAGTGAAATTGTGTACAAAGATACCAAACTATAAACAGTGAAACTAAGAAAAATAGCTACTAAAAATAGTATCTTCATATAGCATGAAATACACAAAATATAAAGAGAATGTTCACAGAATGAAACAAGTTAAAAGGTTCTCAAGGAACTTAGTATCTGTACTGTTTTTTAACACCAAATATTTTTTGGCCAATAATTTGTCATATTTCAATATATAATAATAGCATTATTAATAGGTAACTAGCCGAAACCGGTTTGGCTCAGTGGATAGAGCGTCGGCTTGCAGACTGAAAGGTCCCAGGTTCGATTCCGGTCAAGGGCATGTACCTGGGTTGCGGGCACATCCTCAGTAGGGGATGTGCAGGAGGCAGCTGATTGATGTTCCTCTCTCATCGATGTTTCCAACTCTCTATCTCTCTCCCTTCCTCTCTGTAAAAAATCAATAAAATATATTAAAAAAAATAGGTAACTAAATTGGCCAGATTGAATTTAATTTTTACCTCTGTCCCACCTTTAATGTTTTTCTAAGAGGAAGAAAAACCAAGTAGATGAATAATTCAAATTTGGAATCAAACAAGAACTGAGATAGGTCCTGGCCAGGTATCTTAGTTGGTTAGATAGAGCATCGTCTAGATAAGCCAAAGTTGTGGGTTTGATCCCAGGTGAGGGCACATACAAGAATCAACCAATGAATGCATAATGAATGGAACAACAAATTAATGTTTCTCTCTCTCTCTCTTTCTCTTTCTCTTTTTCAAGTCAATTAATAATTTTTTTTTAAAAAGAACTGAGATAAATAATACACAATTTGAAATTGAACATGGACTGTAATTGTCAGAAAACTAAATACTGGGTTGGATGAGAAAAATTCAAAAGATTTTTTAAAAAATATATATTTTATTGATTTTTTTTATAGAGAGGAAGGGAGAGGGATAGAGAGTTAGAAATATCAATGAGAGAGAAACATTGATCAGCTGCCTCCTGCACGCCTCCACTGGGGAGAAGGGAGAGGGATAGAGAGTTAGAAATATCAATGAGAGAGAAACATTGATCAGCTGCCTCCTGCACGCCTCCCACTGGGGATGTGCCCCCAACCAAGGTACATCCCCTAGACCGGAATCAAACTCGGGACCCTTCAGTCCGTAGGCCTACACTCTATCCACTGAGCCAAACCGATTAGGGCAAAAGATTTTTTAAAAATATATTTTTATTGATTTCAGACAGGAAGGGAGGGGGAGAGAGAGATAGAAACATCAATGATGAGAGAGAATCATTGATGGGGTGCCTCCAGTACACCCCCCACGGGGGATCAAGCCTGCAACCCTGGCATGTGCCCTTGACCACATCGAACCTGGGACCCTTCAGTCCGCAGGCTGACTGCTCTATCCGCTGAGGCAAATTGGCTAGGACCAAAAGACTTTTCAAATGTAACAAAACATCATCTTGATGGTCATCCTGATGATATGTGCACTAGAGCTGGTTTTCCTGAGGCTTGGGGAGGCGGGGCAGTTTCTATTGTAAGGAAAGGTTGTAGCATATTAATTTAACTGACATTTTGCCTATTCATGTTAGTGTTACTCTTTCATTTTGGTCCATCTGAGAGAAGTGTATAACAGAAGTTAATCTTAAAACAAATAGAGAATCTTCTACACTAATAAAAGACAAAGATGCTAATTGACCATACCTTTGCTACACCCAAGCCACGCCCACCAGCCAATCAGAGCCACTATATGCAAATTAACCCAACTAAGATGGCGGCCAGCAGCCACAGAGCTGGAGCAAGCAGGAGGCTTGGTTGCCCCGGCGTTGGAAGAAGCCAAACTTCCCGCCTGCTCTGGCTGGCTGTGGCCTCCGCAAAAGGCAACCAAGTTTCAATTATAGAAGCTAAATAAATCCCAGATACCTGCTTCCAGCCAGCCTCCACTGGGAGCTTGGGTGGCTGGGGGCCATGGCCAGCCTGCAAACAGCCATCAGCCCCTCACCCAGGCTGGCCAGGCACCCCAGTGGGACCCCAATTCCTGAAGGGGGTGTGGCCAGCCTGAAAATGTCCCTCAGCCCCTCACCCAGGCTGGCCAGGCACCCTAGCGGGGACCCCCACCCCGAAGGGGATGTGGCCAGTGTGAAAACGGCCCTCAGCCCCTCACCCAGGTTGGCCAGGCACCCCAGCGGGACTCCCACCCTGATCCGGGACACCCTTCAGGGCAAACCAACTGGCTGCTCCCTGCTTGCAAGTGGACATCCCCCGAGGATGTCCCCCAATCCCCCGGGAAGCGGGCCTAAGCCAGCAGGTGGTCATTCCCCGAGGGATCCTAGACTGCAAGAGGGCACAGGCTGGGCTAGGGACCCTCCCGAGTGCACAAATTTTTGTGCACTGGGCCTCTAGTAATTTAATAAAAAGAGATTATAAATGAGAGAGAAATTTACTTTGGGAAATTACAATATAAAATCCATTTTTTCCTTTACATTTTCTTTTATAAACCAAGTGATGACAGGTTTGTAATTCACTATAAGAACTTGCAAGTTGTTTCTTGAAGTATTATTTTTTAACAATGTTTTATTGTGATAAAATATACACAACATTTACCATTTTAACCATTTTAAGTGTACAGTTCAGTGGCATTAAGTACATTCACATTGTTGTACAACCATCACCTATCTGCAGAACTTTTTTATTTTTCCAAACTGAAACTTTGTGCTCATTACGTAATCACTCCACATTCTCTCCTCCCCCAAATCCTGGTAACCACCATTCTACTGTCTGTCTCTATGAATTTGTCATTTCTAGGTACCCAGTATAAATGAAATCATGTAATATTTGTCCTTTTTTGTCTGGCTTAAATCACTTAGCATATGTCTTCAAGGTTTACTCATGCTATAGCAAGTGTCAGAATTTCATTCTTTCCTAAGGCTGAATAATGTTCCATTGTGTGTTTATACATTTTTGTTTATCCATTCATTTGTTGATGGACATTTTGATTGTTTCCATCTTTTAGCTATTGTGAGTACTGCTGCTGTGGACATTTAGTTAATGGTTGATAGAAGGGAGGAAACTTGGTGAACCAATAAGAGGGTGGTTTAGTATGAATTTCAAATAATTTGGTAATTAGAGAAATATAAGCTTTGTTAGGGTCAACTTTTTTAGAAATATCTCAAGAGTTATTTAAAAAGAGTAATATCTTAAAAGTATATTCATTGAATAATATACATTGAACACAACCTCATTATATTGTAAACATTATTTAAAATTATTGTGAAAGGAAAAGAGGGCCAATTGATATTTTGATCAGGATAGATTCTTAGGTTAATTTCAAGTAGCTACTATTATTGGCCTTCTTATTAATGGGTTGCCTGCCAAACATTGCTATTCCCATCTGATCAAGTTTTAGCAATCCATGATATTTTAGACAGGTATTTTATATTTGGGTAAAAGTCTATCTATTCCCTCTATCATTTTTTGTTTGATTCATTCCGTAATGAGTCCTGAAGGATGTTTTTCAAATGGACCACACTTTATCAAAAAGAAAAACATCATTAATTAGTTTAACAGTATGTACCAATCTAAAATAATTGCCCCATGAGAAATGTTCCTGTACAATATTGTATGTAGTATTTTTACCATACAGTGATAGATTCTGTTATCAGTAATGTAGCACTTTCACTCTATTTCATAGTAACATTTTAGCAAGCTATCTTTTTCTTAAGTTTTCAAGATTTCTGTTTAAAATTAAATTAGTTAGGTGATTAATAGATTACTGAAATGA